AGAGCGGCTTGGTGTACTCGCTTCCGGAGCCACATTTATACGAGTTTGTCACTAAAATTCCCACCAACTTGATGGGGGGGAAGGAGGAAGTGCCACTCACATGTTTTTGCTTTTACTCCTCCTCTTGCATTTCTTAGTTGCTTCTCGCGGTCGTATTGCTCTCCTGGGGATACGTCATCTATGCATCAACTGTAGCTGCACGACGACAGCTAAGGAAGAAATACCCAAAATCTTCAGGATGAATGAAAATTTGTAATTCCTCTGCATTTGATTCCATGCATATACAATTCTTTACCTCATGCTTATCTGACACGTGTCTCGATTTAAAGTAAAATCTTTAATAAAATGCTTCGAAATTCATTTTTGTATACCGTCCTTTATAATAACCACTAATATGCTACTTTTTCATACACTTAGAGATTTGTCTTTTACGTTCCCACATGACAAAGCAACCTACATCTAGGCCTTTTAATCTAGAGTTTCTAAAATACTTCTTTTGAAATGCTTCAGAAAGCCTTTAAAAGTGTGTGGAACTCCTGTTCTTTTGTTTATTGCAACATTTCATTACATTGTATACCTTCACATCACAGTAGATTAAGTACTGTTTAAGAAAAAACTATCATGTGACTAAATCATTTTCTACATGCTGTTTTCCAAATTAAAAATGGCCAGAAAAAGTAGGTGATTGCCCATACCATTTTTTTTGCATGTCCAGTTTTTACTTATTATTAGATAAGTCAGAGTCTCAAATTGTACAGAGGGAATCGTACAGTTTGGGAAGAAACAGACAACACATATCTGAGTAAACTTTATTAAAGTTACTTTTCCAGAAAATATATTCAGTAAGTGTGTTAATGTAGCAACAAACTTGGGCTCAAACACCTTTGAAATTTTAAAAGTAATCTTCAGTGATGTTGATCAGGAAATTCTTTCATTGGTGGGATTACTTCTCCAGTTTCCAGAATTGTATCACCCTAGAAAAACAAAAATGCATTAGTGAAAAATCTTGTCTGCAGAGGTGATAGTTCCATTTCGTCAGACCTCATCTGGAAAATCTAGTTCACTTCTGGCATTCACACTTTAAAGGGACAGAGGCAAAATAGAAGCTGTCTAAAGATGAGCAACCAGTATTCAAAATCTTAAGGTATAAGGGAGAGAATAGGGGAAGTTTCACTCAAAAATGACTAGAAAGGACATGAAAGTTGTCTTTACAAAGTGATAAAAGGATAATCTTTATTTGCTTGGCCCCAAGAAATAGAAGCCCTAGAAAGCTGCAGGTAAACATCTTCCCTTCAATATAAGGCGGTAATGTATTCCCAGCAACTGAATGTGTTAGGCAGTCACCAGTTTACCGTTTGGCTCAGAATGGATATTAGAAACAGAATGCAAACTTTCCTTGGGCAGCTGGTTCGGGTGTCTTTCCAAACCTAGATGCAGTGTGTATGGCAGAATGGGCATGGACTTTAAAGCCAGAACCAAGTAGTGTGAATCCTGGAACCCTCCACTGACAAGCTGTATAATTTTAGGCAAAGTACTTAGCTTTAATCTCAGCTCTCTGTTTAAGACAGCAGGTTCCATCAGCCTGATAGTCCATGAATTGACTTCGTAGAGTAGAATTATCCCTATCACCACCTACCATTCCTTGGCCTGGTATGGCTCAGGACTGTATAAATGTGTATTATGTTTAAGCCGTTATATACTTGGGGGAAAACTTGTTACCACAGCTAGCATTACCCTAACACAGAAATTAATAACTTGAAGTGGTACTAATGCTGCTGTAATAAAAATTGAACCACATGGCACTGGCTTAGCAGTGGGGCTACAAGGACACTGGCATTGGAGGCTATAAAATGGAAACAAAAGGCACTAATAACTTAGAAGCAGACTGTCTAATGAACTTGAGGTTCAAGGAGAAGTACCTGAAAAAACATTATAGTATGTATTTAACTACTAGTGGCTGCCTTAGTAATGTATTTTAAGAAACATAAGCTCAGGTAAGAAGTGGCTGATTTGAGAGGAGAAATAAAAATAAGAATCTAAAAATTCGGGACCTTGCAATATTAGAAAATCAGATTGATTGCTTCTGAATCTCTAAACAGTAACAACACTGAAAAGATTCTGAGAAACAGAAGCCCAATAAAACTCAGTAAACAGAGGAACTCAGCACCATGGCAAAGATCAGACTGAATCAAAGGTAGCCCTTGAACTAGAGTGTGTTTCTGGTGGCTTCCACATAGCTGCCTCTCAACTGAGTTGAGAGAGGCAGTAGAATAAGGACAAAGAAATGAGACAACTTGATAACTATGTATAGAAACCATATATACTGGTATGTGGGACTGACTAGAAGCAAAAAGATTAGACTCCTACCAAGTATTTTTCTTTCCATGCCTGCCAAATGTGAGAACTAGATGGTCAAAGAAACCAAACATACAGACAATAAAAGCCTATGACTGTTTCTGATTAAAACAATCTCTGGCTCTCAACCTTCTGTGAGCAGAAGGTAGATTTTAAAGGCTGTACAACCCTAAGGAGGGCATACTTCCCAGTACTCATTTTAGATGTGGTCTAGGTTGATAATGGAAAACAAAGAATCCCCCTAGACTGAGCCAGGGGCCAGGAAGAACAATGAACAAAGGTGTTCCTTCCAGAAGCAAAATCAGTTCCTGTTCAAGTAACTTCCCACACACAGGGGTTAGGAGGCTTTACAGTGTTTGACCACTGGGGTTTCAGAGCCAAGTGACTGCTATGCTGTCCAAATTCCATCGTTGAATAATGGGTGTGGTTCAGAGGCAAGGGATACAGTTCACTTGCCATTGATCCTCAAATCTCCAAGAGAAGACTCTCCAAGAATAACTCTGGCGAATATTACTATACATCATCTGAAGATCTTAGGTTGCAGTGATGTAATGGGACCTTGGAGTTTCTCCCTACGAAAGGGACTTGTGTTACATGTGTGGGAAGAAGGAAGCAAAGAGCTATTTGTTGACTAGAAGGATACACTGTGGCAGAGACTCCAGGTATGGGAGGCTGAGAAACATAAAAAAGCACAGACATGTGGGATCATGAGAATGAGTTCTGGCCGACAGGACATGAAGAGAAGTGATGTAAGCTACTTCCAAGCTTAGACCTTAAAATCATCCCCTGAGACATCCAGCCCTCTCTTTCCC